GTTCGCGGAAAAAAATCGAACCGTACGGTTCTCCACACACGGTTCGGCACGCGCTAGGACCGAGGTTCAACTTAAATCTGACAACGCATCTGTAATGTATGGTTTGCTATAATTAATGGGGTCATATGATGCGATTTCAAGTTTTCCTTTCTCTTCAATGAAAAAAAAACGTAGACAAACCATTCACTTTTGTTCAATGCGACTGCCGTATGCTGGAATATGAGCATTTATTCATTCATCACCCGGGTGCTGATAGCGCACACACAGGTGAGACCTGAACAGCACACGTTGATATCTGTGTTCAAGCTAAACTCGTTTAAGCTTTGCTAGTTTAAACATTTAAGAGCCAGATGACGCGAGCTCGCGCGCACAGTGAGAAGATTTGTGCGTGCGCTCATCCGAAGAGCGCAAACCCGCGCCTCAGAACGCGCGCAAATATTAAGCTTTCTCTGAAGTATTATGTTTAAATGGACAAATTCACACAATAATCATGTCAAAATGACCGTCTTGGTAAGTATCCTATAGCATACATAGCCGGCTGAACGTACTTACAGTGTCTTAAAGTGACAGCACATTCTTAATATTAATCAAACAGCAACAACAAAGAAATCACTCACTGCTCTTGATTGAATAGCTTTTGTAACTTTAATAAAGATTAATCTTTAATTTATACAGTCAAATATGCAATGCTGTTTTACATTTCATTACTTTATTCAGTTTCTGTACCTGAAAACTAATGTTAGAAAAAAAACTGTAAAAAAACTGAAAATCACTGTTTATTTTATTTGTATCTTTACTCTATTGTATTTATTTGTGCTGTTGCTTGTAGTTAGATAGATTATTCTTATTTTCTTTATTTTTATTTGACAATAGTTTTTGCCTAAACATAGCACATACCGAACCGTACCGAAACTGTGACTCAAACTGTGATACAAACCGATCCGTGAGTAAGTTGAACCGTTCCACCCCATAATATATATATATATTTATTATGTGTGATAACTTGCCAAATACCAGCCGATATATTGGTCTAGGAGATATATATCGGTCACTTACATTTTATTTTACATAAAATTTACTAAATTAGAAATAAATAATTTGAAAAATGTATCAATATATATATTTAAAAAAGTTTAATTTGGCCAATGTGATAATTAAAAAAGCCAAATGTCTGCCGATATATTCACCTTGGCAATATATCAGTTACTTATATTTATTTTATATATAAAATGTACTAAATTAGAAATTAACAATTTGAAAAATAAAATCAACATTTTTTAAACAATCAGCAAAACAAATAATTAGCAAATTATTGTTAGCCATTGCAATAATTTTAAAAATGCCAAATATCGACTGTTATATTGGCTTTCGCAATATATCATTCAACCTACAAAGTACCATGGTATTAACATCTGATACCATATTACTGGTGCAGAACTTTTCTAAAAAGCATATACATTAAAACTAATTTTCCTAGAAGGTCTTAAACTTGAACCCTTTGAAACCCCTCCGATTCAGGCCTGGAGCTCCGTCACAATGGAGAGACAAAGAGCTTCTTCTTGTATATCCATAAATTTCTCCTCTCAGGATTCAGCGTTCAGCTGTTAAACTTCTACTTGGACAAATAACCCCAGAAACACTGTTCCCTCGAGGACTTTTAACCCTAACAAGGTCAAAGTAAAACACTGACCCCGTCTAAAAACATCTAGCATGTCCAATTACACCCGTGAAGACCAGAGCGTGAACTGTGAGAGGTCTGCTGTGCTGAGAAACTGAATGAATGGAGAATGAGAGTAAATGGCTGTGACAACCAAGTAACTAATAAACTCTCACGTGAGTAAATAATTAGTGGCTGACTGTGTTTTTAATGATCAGTGACGAAAAGAGTTTGATTCACTAACAAATTGCACATAAATACCGTGCGTGCAAATGTTTTACTCCACATCTAGTCAAATTGAGAAAAATCTTAAAAAAAAAAAAAAAGTTCGCACCAAAACTCCCAGAATTGTTTTGTGAACCCAAACTTTTAACTATTAACACTAGTCTTCTCACTGAGGCGTTGTAGATTTTCATTTTGAGTCAATAGCGCCCTCTGCAGGTCATATAATAGCACAACATCCTTTTTCTAAAAGCAAAAAAATAAATAAATACTAATAATAATAATAAATAAATCACAATTAAAAACATCCACACACACAGTCTGTACATATTAGTTTTATTGAGACTTTCCAAGATTAATAGTTTAGACATTAGGTAAGTTTTTGATACACATTAAAAAAAAAAGTCTATGTACAAATTTGCATTGTGGGGTATGATTTTTCACCATAAATGTCATTTTTGGATTCAGAACTTCAGTTTACTAAAACAAAAACTATAATGATAAAAAAAGAACATTTAAAAACTAAAATAAAACTCCTAATGTAGATAACGGAAAAACAAAACAAGAGTTAACACATCAAAACAAAGAGCCATAAATCAATATCTCAGATCTCAAACAAACTAAAATATGAAACTGATTTAACGTAGTAATGCAATGCTTACATGACTTTAAGATTAACTGATGAGGCAGCATTTAAAAACAAAAAAAAAACAATGCAAAATAAAAGTACATGGCTCAAGAATCATGATTTCGTCTTTTGTGGTCATAAAAACTGGCTTTATTATACGCTATTGCAACACATATTCACCCCTGAGCAAAATCCAACAAGCTAATATATAAAGCAAAGGACAGAAATAAGAGAAGTGAAAAGCCGCTGGTAATAAAAGTGGTTTCAAACGAACTTTCTGCACAGTTTCCAGCCGGTCTACTCGAAACAAGTGAAGAAACCAAATAATTATTGCATATACAAATAGATGTTCCCATCACGCTCCAGCAGTAAGGATAGATGTCCTGTTAAACGGAGTAAATGCTCAGATGGGTTTGGTTGTGCTGTTGTAGACGAGTTTCTCTGAATCTCCGTAGGTGTGAACGTGTCCGCCGTTAACGGCCACATGCTGATGTTTGTTTCTGCGCTGCTTCTTTCCCTTCAGGAGGCAACATGCGATAACCACCAGCAGGACGGCGATGGCCAAGCCCAGGACGACGGCGATCACGATGGCAGCTGAACAGAGACACGACAGTCACGTTACGGTAATGCATCTGGATATGTCCGGAGATTCAAACAGAGGTACAACAGCAGACTACAGACTAAAGATCTACTCAACATGTTTTTCCAAGGAAAAAAGACATGCAAGGTGCATTATTTTTGCCATTTAGTTTGAGGATACTAGTGCAACAGAAATACCATATGACATGTATTTACCCAAGACAGATCAGGGTCATTATAGTTAACTAAAACTATAAAACATTTGTTACTTTAAATAAAATAAACTTTAATAATAATAAATTATATATATATATATATATTTATTTTTATTTATTTATATATTTTTTTATAAAAACATGCTTTCATAGTAGGCTGAATGTTGTCCCTTTTCAGTTCAAAGCAAAATAAAAGGGATTTGTATTTTTTTCTTTTGGAGAGCACTGTGTTTCAGATGTATTGAAATAACATAAAACAAAACAAACAGTGGTTAGTCATTTTATATATCTGTCACACATGATTTCCAGCTTCCATTCATATTCACTGGCTCCAAGCTTCTGTTCTTGGGCCAGAATAAAAAGACTTTAGGTTAAAAACCTGCATTTATCCATTCTGTTTGGTATTAAATATGCCAAACCAACTCAGTTTGATATATTAACTTAAAACTGCCCCTCACTACTGTAGATGCTGCCTGAAATGGGAAAATGGCAGCAAAATGTTTCCCTTTTACTGCTGAAAAACAATAAACCCTTATAGTTCTGCCAGTCATTTAACAGCCTACAGTTGCCAAAGAAAAACACTTTGATTTACGTTAACTATGATCAAACACTTTATGTCCTTATTCTCAGAGTGCAGCTTCTCATAGCTTGTTGATTTACTCCATGCTTTTGTAATAAAAATGAACTATCATTCTATTGATGGATGTTTTTG